TAAATGTTATATATATACGTATATATATATATATATATAATCTTTCTCTTCTTAGTGTAATATCAAGCTCGATCAAATATATCTCACTATAATTAATCACGATTGTTTATCGCGTAAGGAACGAAACATAGCAGGCCTTTCTGGAATAACCATTTGAGGCAAAGAAGAGCGTACCTGGGATCGGGGAAAGGAGCATTGAACGGAGTACAGAAGAGGCGTGAGGAGTATTGAGGAGAGAAAAAGGAAAGGGCTGAGGGAAAAACAAAATAAAAGAGGAAAACCGCTGGCAATTTTTCACTAGCTTTTTAAAGCGCGGCTTAGGTACTCGTGGAGCGAGTTTGAATCGATTTTTCGAGAGGGGAGAGAGGGCCCATTTTTCTACCGTCTTCTTGTGCCAAACGGCGCAAACTGTACCTATCTCCAGCTGTTTCGCAACATGGTTGTCGCTCGAAGGCCGAGTTTAGATTGGAATCTAAAATTTCGATATCTCGCACGGCGGTTCCCCTTTTTTCTCCTATCAAGCAATACTCGTGAAGTTTCGTGAATGCAGAAGTGGTGCATCTGCATGAGCCAAGAATAAATCAGGATGCGAAATCCGAATTTCTTGTCGCAAGAGAAACGGATACGAAGATCTATGCTTTAGAAGAAGCGATTCTATCTTTACGATTTTTACGGATTGAGATTCTTAATTCGCGAAAGAGATGATAAAATGCGAGATGATAAGTTACTATTAACATAAATATTTTTCCAGAACAATATTAGTGTAAAACAAAGTTTAGACAGTAATAACATTAAATAATTATCAAGTAGCTACATTTATTTCGTCCACTTTTACGATGTATCGTTGCGCGAAATCGCGATACTGTCTCTGACTTTCGTCACGTAAAATCACAGAGCGTAACGTACTGGTTTGCAGATACAATCGATGTAGAGCGCGGACTTACTGACACTTCGCATGCTCGCAAAATGTAAGCTCAATATATTCCTTTTGTTTTGCTCATGTAATTTCTTTGCGAAATCGAAGTTCTGCTGCTGATTATGCCTATTCTTAGACTACCACGAATCCTTGGTATATGATAATTTACCTTTATAAGTGAAGGTAATTTTCATATTACTTGAATATCTGAGATCATGATTACATTAAAATTATTCTTAGAAGTGTTTTTAGTTGTGTCTATTTAATATAATAAAAGTAATTATTGAAAAATTTTAACAATATAACATAAAATTAAGAATTATAAAAGACTCTTCATTTTCTCTTCTTTCACAAATTTAAAAATAGAATATAATGGAAAATAGTTTCCATCACTCCATTCTTAAATTTATGAAAAATTTTTGATATATCGAAAATAAAAAATCATAACATTCTATGTTTCCAAATTTTTCTGTTTAACTATTATTTCGAATTGTGTTAACACTATTATAATAAAAAGAAAATCTTCAGAACAGGGAAGGAAACGTTTGAGTGTTTTATCTATTAATTATCAGTCAGTTGCGCGGAACTTACAAAGAATTTATTATGTTCTTTAAATGCTGTCTATAGAAATGTGTCAAATTAGCTCTTTCGCTGATTTCTGCTGCATAAATGCACGCGGCTTAGCGTTACTGGTTTACCGATACAATCGATCAAGACTGCGGAGATTGACGCGACTTCACCTCCAGTTCGCAGCTCAAGCCCGACTTCGAAGGGTATCGGTGCTTGCGATATTATCGTCATGCATCTATCGACCGGCGAGTTTAACGGAGCGCAAGGTCGCAGGACTCGTGGTAGCTGCCGCGCGATCGCAGAGATATGCGTTATTATTGTTCGCGTCGGTGCATCGTGAAACGTCGGACGATGATGGAAACTCGTAAAACAGCTCAGTTAGGACGAGAGGGCGAGGTCGTTAAAAGTATAATAAACTTGAGCAAGTCGGTTGATAAAACGAAATATTCTGGATTTCCTTCTATTGCAACTTCTAGGGATTTGATTATGTCTATTTATTGTCGACATTGACGTTTTCCAGAGTGGTGGCTTTTCTTCAGTAAAGCCGTGGGTTAGTATTGCATTTTTATAAATTGCATTTCCGGAAGCGTTAAGATTGTGAATGATATTTGTGACTTTGCAACAATATTCGTGAGTCTTCAATATATATAAATATAAATATAAATATAAATATAAATATTGTAGTACTTTTTACATTTAGATATATATAGATATCAATAAAATAAAGAGAAATATTTCAATGTATGAGGCATTTAAACAAATTAAATATTTTGTGTAACATTGGAAGTTTATAATATTTTTTAATTGATATTTTTATATCAGGTATATAAAAAAAAGATAAAATATTCAAAGATTATTAAATATTCCTTTGTTTAAAATATTTGACGACATTTTAAAATGTATTGTTTTCTTCTTTTTACTGCAAACACAAATACTTCTTTTAAGTATTTTTTAAATATATGTATTAATATATGTTTAATATATGTTTTATGAAAATTTTATTAATTAATTATATATTTTCATTAATTAAACTTGCGAATAAAAAGAGTAATATGTAAATTTATATACTTATACTTGTAACATAAACCTATTGATTTTTATAAATCTAATATTAGGTTATTTTGCATTTTTGAAAAGTCGTTAGTGATACCATGTTATCATTTTATGATGACGTTATATTATCGCTCATATAACTCTAGTAAAACGGTAAGTCGACTTTAATGAGCAAGATTAAGAGGACTTACGAGATCTCTCCGAAGGCTGAGAAAGCTTCCCTTAAGGTATGTGTCTCGATTTCCGGACTCAGGTCTCCAACAAATATGTGATAATGTTCTGAAATAAAAAAGAAGATGATTAGACACATTTTGAAAACAGAATAATATAATATATTTTTGTTGCTGAGAAAATTACAATTGAAGATAATAATAATTATATTCAAACATTATTAATTTCTGCAACGAGTATATGAGCTTTAATGGATGCAAAACAAAGATATGAAATATTTATTTCGTTATACTTGGTCCAAAATATATATCTCTGTGATTAAACTCCGCAATCAATAATCCAAAAATGTAGATAAAAATTCAGTAACTTGATAGAGAAATAATTAATGTGTTTTTGTGACGTTCATTAAAAAATTTCTGTATCTCTACACAAGAGGAAAATGCAGAATCATTTAGAAAATCACGACACGATTTTAATAAAATTGATTTATTATATTTTATTAAATTAATGTAATGTAATTTTTATATTAACTTTATTTAACAATATTATTTTTTTAACATAAGATATCACTTTGCTATACTTATAATCGTAAAACACTGAATAAATAACAAGTTTAGCTGTTTTGAGAATATCTCTTTATTAAATTGTTAATGAGCTCTTTCCTTCGCTAAAAGCGTGATGATTCTGTCTGAAATATCTGACATAATATAAGGAAAATGAAACATCGCAGAAAATTACTCTTAGCGCGAGAATGCTATTCAGACAATCGAAGGTCTTTCATAATACATAAGATGCAACCTCTAAGATAGGCACTTAAAATAACTCGTCGGAGAATAGAGGTAAAGACAGATTCATAATTAAATCATTTCCTGCATAAATACAGACCGGTTAGCGATACATGATAAATAATTGTAGCTATTTTTGAACAAATGATACAAATTCCGGAACGTGAAACAGAGGATATACTATTAATAAGTAATTATTAGTCATAATCATTTTGTACGTTAACTATATTGCTATTTGAAAAAAACAGAATCTGCAAATTTGTGAAAATATAACGATTAATTATAAATATCATTATATGATTTTTATGTGGATAAGTATAATAAAAGCATAATAGCATAAAACAATACCATTTCTCATTAAAGAAGAAAAATAAGAAATTGTAATAATATAACTGTGTGTGTGATTACAGAATAACGTTATGTTAAATAGTATTATGCAAACATTTATTTTAGAAGTATTGTATTAAATTTTCAAGCCAGTATATCGTATAATAATATGATATACGTTAATATGTAATGTTATTCCATAAGATGGATCGGATTATAAGTATTCCGATGCGTTTGTATTAAACACGTTTCCATTCTTCATTAATCGAGATATAATTGATATTGAGATCGCTTTGGGAATTATGGTAATTTTAATGTGTAAAGTGATAATATTATTGAATAGCAATAAATATTTGAGCTATTTAATAAAAAGCAAAAACTTGGTAAACTTGCTAATTTATTAACCAATGTTAGCTGATTTTATGTTCTTTAAACATCTCTCATTTTTGCTTTGTTTTTCCAGTTTACATAATTGTGTTATGTTGTTGCATCATATTTCAATTATTTTAAATACTAACTCAACGGAGATTACTAGCGCTTCATTCGACCACCTTATCGAATTAAGCGCTAGTAATCTCCGTTAATCACACAACGCTGTTTTTTTCACCCACGAAAATCTGTGCGATTCTATGGTTAAAACCGGCCGGATGAGTGCAATGAAACGGTGTGCGAAGTAAGCTTTTGGGGGGATAAATTATCGATTCGCATACGGTCGTGCGGTCGAGTGCACGTCGTGGCGTTGCGGTACAGCCTCGCATCGGCTCGATAAAATATGCTCCTCTTCTCTGGTCTCTCGTTTCACCTTTCTCCTATCCACATCCTCTCTCCGACTCGATACGGTTTCATTCACGCTGATATGTAGGAATAGATCAAGACGAGTAGTCGAAAATCGAGTTACCGCCGGAAGGTCTCTACCAGGGGCATCAGTTACTCTGAACGGGATATGCCACCGTTGGAAAGTATAGAAGGATAAGATAGAAGTGGACTGTCGGAGACGGAGGGTGGTCTGATTACAATCGGTTTGATAGCCTATCCTTGCCGGTTGGAGGTTCCGGTGGACACACACAGCGGTCCATTCTCGTGAATTAGTCCGATCCTCATCATCTTCTTTTTCGACCAACTCAATCGACATCGTCGCATCGTGCCAGGATCTTGGTAGATTAGGATATTAGGATATCAACAGGAAATTGATAAAAGTTTATTTTGTTCGTAGATGCCCCCGAGATTTTTATATAATTATCCAATATCAACAATCAAATTTCTTTTGATATCTTATTGATATCTTATTGAAATTTAATATCTAACGTTAGATGAAATCGAGAGTTGTCGAGTCGAAACTTTAATTTAATGCATATATAAAAATGTTACGTTTGTTTTTCAATCCAAGTAATATATCCAATATATCAATAAATGTTGGATATTATTATATAAATCGCATAAATCATGTCGCAAATATTTGTCTTTTGAAAATATAGTATAGTATAATATATATATTAGGTGTAGTAAAAAGAAATTTTTCCATTCAATTTGCAAAAATAATG